ACTTTCTCATTTACAGCTGAGACACCAGACGCCCAATGAGGCTGACTAGCTTCCGGCTGTTTATACATACATACAACACAATTTTTTTTAACGTTTTTGGCTAGTTGCTTTGGATTTCGTGAAGCCGTGACCTGTGACGTCCCATAATGCAACGCGCGCAGTGCTGCATTATGGAACATCACAGACGTACACACCACTTCAGTTTCTCCGCTAAATTTAGCGAGGAAATCGAATCGGTGTAAAGGTCACGCGTGACATCAGGTCACGTGACGTCGATTTCCCCGCTAAATTTCGCGGAAATGTAACGACCCGTGACCTACACACCAATTCAGTTTCTCCGCTAAATTTAGCGGGGAAATTGACGTCACGTGACTTGACGTATCGTGACCAATATGACAATTAGGTATCTCCTCTGAATTGAGCGGGAAAATGAACACCACGTGAATTACACACCAATTAGTTTTCCGCTAAATTTAGCAGGAAAATTGACGTCACGTGACCTTATGTCACGTGATGCTAGAACGCTTCAGGTATGCAACATAATTGCCGATCGACTTTGTCATGTTAGTGCACAAGTCTTGATTATTCATGCTGATGTCGTCATCACTCTCATCGCGAGCGCTTACTAAGCTGTCGCAGTCGACGACACTCACATGCCAATGCGTGAGCCAGCTCCTTTCCCCCGAACACTGCGACGGCCACGGCTAAGACTGATCCCGATGAAACGGAGCCACAGCCGACCTACTTCTGCATTTAGCAGAGAAGTGCGCGTGCGCCATCCAATTCCGAATAAAGGTATTAGGGAGAGGGAAGCGATGCAGAAGCAAATCGAGCAGGCATCGGGATTTGACGGTCCCCCCGCGAAGGAATGAATCCCGTAGCAGTGATTTTCTTCGTCGACGTCTTCGCGGTCGTCTCGTGGTAAGCTGTATTCTCCGCACGTCTTTAGCCTAATCCCCGCGGCCCGTGGCGGCCCTTTTTATCGTCGGAACGGAGAGCTCAGTGGCGGTATCGGAGCGCAATTACTCTAACTACCCGAGTAATACAGTAGAAAGAGGGCGGAGGTTTTCACGTGCACATTAACGTACGATAAAGGTTGAGTTAACGCCCGATAATAGATCGTCAGTTACGCTGCGTCTCTTTAAAGTACACTCAACTAAATTTTCTTAAATGCCCGAATAGAACATGTCAGACACACAGAAAATACGCCTCCCTATTTTTTTGTTTCCGCAATATTTTATTTGTTAGTTTTATCGGAGTATTGCGTCGTGCTTTTATTTGCTCCATATTTTTCCGGACAACGTGACAAAATAGAAACAAATGACGCATTTGTTTACATATAATATTTTCTTATCTTAGCCTTATATCTTTACCACAAATTTACACTTCCGTAGAGTCCTATATTTTGGTGCAGCAATTATAACCTGACCATTTATTTACCGCATTAATACCCGAGTGCGCGTTACTTTGCCCGAGCTCTAAGTGTAGGTGTCGCGAATCGCCGCCCGATTAAAAGAGTTCAACCGTCTGCCTCCGTCCTTCCTTCAATCCAGCAGCTCTTTGAGCCCCAGCGCAAGGAATCGAAAGCCTGAGGGTACACTCAAATCGACTCGCATCGCTGAAGGGTATTCACGCGGGGAAGCTCCCTCGGGAAATGAAGTGCGTGACGCCAGCGATCGGCGGAACCAGCGGCACTCTCTCGAAAGCTCCAGCGTTCGTACAGATGGCGGGGAGCTGAGAGGGACGTCAGTGTTAGCAGACGCATCTAACGGTTGCACTATCGACAACAAGTGTCGGTGCGCCCTGGTGAGAGTAAAAGAATGGAGGCGTACATGAAAAGGCGGTAGGTGTTTATGACAGCAGCACTGTTAGATACAAAAGACAACAAACAACTTCCTCTGGAAAAAAATATGCTGGGTACAAATGCGCACGCAACAATTACAAAAAAAAAAAAGCAAATTTAAAATCACTTCTATGAAGAGCTGCATGAGGCTGACATTGTCGAATATCGAAGTATCGTTCGTGAAAACAGAAAAGAAACGTTCAACGAGCCGATGACCCCCGCAAGCCACTAAAGTCACTCGAATAACGATATGCTGAGTAGCGACAGCGATTGATGTGCCGACGCGCTTTCCCGTTTGTCCGCGTTCCGTTTCCGGTTAGGAAGAACATGGCGGATTTGACTCGACCTCCCTCTCGAGTAACAGTTTGGTACCTTGGCGTTCGAGGACCTATCCGCGTCCAGCGTTGTTCTACCTGGATTGTCACGTGGCATGACCCGCCGGAGTAGCTCGGGAGATTTCGAACACAGCCATATAATGGGCGAGTTAGGAAGAATATGGCGGACCCCGTGCTAGCAGACGACAGGAGCGTCTAGGGACGTTACAAGCCACAAGTTAGGCGACTCGGATGCCACCGCCTGCGTCTCGGAAAGCATAACCTGTAAAGTTGCCAGACACGCGAATAACATCCCGACAATTGTGAAGAGAGTGCCCGCCAAGGAGGGGACCGTTTGAGTATAGGCCGAGCAAAAGCTTCCCCATCCCCGTGCAAAGGCGTGACGCTGTTATCACATGATGCTCACCTCAGGGAGCAAAGAGAGCAATTTCTCTCCCGTGTGCGTACCCCTCAAAGCACATACTCCCATTCTGTGCGCGGCCTAACTGCATCCTGCAGCCACGTTTTGGCAAAGCAGCTTTTTTTTCTTCTATCTCTATATCGCCGCACTTAATTCCGGCTCGATCAAGCTGCTTCGAAATTGCGAGCTAATGGGTCTTTATGCGGCGATGCGTTACTTAATTGAAACGGCATGTCGGATTTCTGTAAAGCGATCAATGAGGGAGAAACAAAAGAGGAAAACATAAAGCCCGCTGTGATCAAGAAGTTGGGGTACGACTAATGGTCGGCCATTTGAGATTGGCTTTGCGCGTGCGCGTCTTAATGATACGCATTCAATGTGCTTCCACGTCCTCTTCTCCCCTTCGAATTAGCGAAGTCTTTGTATACATCTTTCCAGCGCTTATCACCCGAGCGCAAAATTCAATGATACCTCATTGTAAACGCGTGCGCGGCTTTTTTTTTTTTTTTCCCGCACAAGAGAGTTATTGCGCATGCTCAGTACGCGCTCCACTCCCCAGCAGACGGAAACGCGCAGAGGGCGATTATTGAAATGGTCTGTAGACTTTTTCCACAAGGCCGCCGCCATCTTGAATGACGCCACTTCCGGTACGAACGAGATCACTGTTTTGCCGTCGCCACGCCAATAAAATACATTTAGGATATAAGCGTAACCGTCACCCCTTCTCGTTTTGCCTCCTCCACTGTTTTTTCTTTTAACTATTTGCAAGATGCAATGTTTTATTACTTCTTTCGTCGCCCATGCGGCACATGCCTACCAGGTGCCTGGAAACAAGAGTAAAGGAAACAACACTTGTAAGCATATCCGGAATGGGCGACAAAAAAAAAAATTTTTTTTCCTGCAAATAGTAAAAAAAAAGTAGAGGGGAGGCAAAACGAGAATGGGTGACGGTTACGCTTATATCCTGAATGGGAACTTTTAGCATACCGTTACCGCGTTACCGTTACGGGCGCACGCTTAAAAGCATGCTTTAAAAGCGGGTTTTCGTAGGTCGTTTTGCCGTCCCGCAATGCTCTGCGCAATCCGCCACGGTATCCTGAACTCTACAGTCAAGGCTATCGATGCGCAGGGGCAGGGGCAATAGCGGCTTCTTCCTTAGCGGAGGGGGAAACGCGGTCTACGAAAACTCCCCTAAAGACTTCGGTAGCGGGGTACGCGGGACACAGTACAGGTTTGCTGAAAGTCCCTATTGTCTTCTGTTGGCGTGACAACGGCAAAATAATAAAAGAAATCGTTCTTTTATTTCTGCTTTCTTCCCGGCAAAAAATAAAAATAAAATCTCTATCGAACACTAAAGCAATACATCAAAAAAAATCCGCAAATGAACCGTAACGGTTAGTGTGGAAATAAATGCTGAAAAAAAAAAGAGATATATCTATATATACTCACTGCGGACGTGAGGTTTTTACCGATACTTTCCGACTAACGAGAACTTGATGCCAGGTCTCCGTATAGGTACTCAAGACCGGTCTACAATGTGTCCCTTTTATTTTTATAGGTATTAAGTTACGCGGCTTTTATTTGTCCTCCGTCGATATCGCCAGGGCGTTCAATAACCGCTTGTGCCGACGATTTCTCTTCAGAGTTCTTCGGCAGCCATCGCTTTTTACTTATTGATGTTGTCACACTACGGGTGTTGCACCTTCTAGAGGGACGTTTAAGGCAGTAAACAACGCTCATATCGTGTAAGTAAAAAGTTAGTAATCAAAATAACTTTTTTTTTTTTTTTTTTTTTTTTTTTTACGTTACTGACGACAGACGTGGAAGAAAGTTTTAGCGGATCGATTTTACGGCCATGACTGCGTTTCGAGAGCGCGCGCGCGTCAAAATGCTAATTTGATGAGAACGTTCCTCGATATTTTAGAGAGGATAAACACAGTTTTACTGTATTTTTGATACTGGGTTTCAGATACATAATGAATCGTGTTTGCCTTAAATACGAAATCATTTCAGCTGATGTCAGAAGGGACACCGTGGAAAGGACGCAACACATGGGCCCGCTACCCTTTGTACTTTATTTTATATTTATATAAATTTTAAGAAAAAATGTTGCGATGAACAAATAGTTTTATACTCGCCTTCACTGTACAAAAGTATACGGAGCTTACTTTACACTAAATTTGGTTTCTAAATCTGCCCAGTCGGGCTTTTTGTTATAAACATTTTATGAGAAATTGTGCGGCCTTCAAAGCTGTATACCTGAAAGCTGACCTGCGATGCCCAAGTAATAAAATGAAACTTTACAGAAGTTCGAATAAAAAATCCCCGGCCTCTGATACTTTAATTAAAAGCTGACCCGCAATGACTCATTAAAAAAAATTAGAAGGAAATGAAGGTTGGTTACTTTCTGTTTTTCCACCAGGCTTGCCGATTCCGACGATCACGTGGCGTCGAGACGGCGTCGAGGTCCTGCGAGAGGTGGTCCCAGGCGCCACGGATCTAGACGGCGTCGTGCGTAGCACCATCGCCATCGACAGCCTGACGCGCGACGACCTGCTCATGGAGCTGAGCTGCGAGACGAGCAACACCATCGGAGGCCCCTTCGAAGCTGCCGTCACCGTAGACCTCACACGTGAGTTCTGGACTTCAGACCTCGAGATTACCTCGAGATTACGTGTGTTTATGCGCCTTGCAAGTGGGCGCATTTTGGTCTCCTGCGCATGGGAAAGGAGGTGTGAAGATGGGGGAGGAGGTTATACTAAGCTCTGCCTCCTCGAGGGGGGGGGGCGGGGGGGGGGGGGGGGGGGTGTCGTGGATGTAAACATTTCGGCGTCGGCAATGGCGGACGTGCTGTAGCAGCTGTGGCTGTAGCCGTAAGTCCTTCGCGTAATTGCTGGTTAAAAAAAAAAAAAAAAGAGAGAAGAACGTTTCGCTTCTGTCCTGTGTGATTTAGAGGTCGGTTCCGATTAGGTGCTGTCTAAGGGACAGTGTTACCAGGGGAAATGAAAACGTGCTGCGTCTTCGGATGCGGTGGGCGCATTCACACGGTGTGTTGCATTTTAAATTTCTGGGAGGTTTGACAGATTGAGAGCTCTTTCTTGATTCGGTGGATGGTGGTGCATGTCCGTTCTTAGTTGGTGGAGCGATTTGTCTGGTTAATTCAGATAACGAACGAGACTATAGCCTATTAAACAGGTGCGTGATTCTCTGCACCTTGCACCCTTCTTAGAGGGACAAGCGGCTCCTAGCCGCACGAAACAGAGCAATAACAGGTCTGTGATGCCCTTAGATATCCGGGGCCGCACGCGCGCTACACTGAAGGAAGCAGCGTGTTTTTATCCTTGTCTGTTAAGACAGTAAGCTTAGAAAAAAGTGACTTGAGCAAATGCAGAGGGCTAACTGAAGTCCATCGGATTACCCTCGAGCGAGTGTTCGTCTGTTTAAATAACAGGGAATAAAAAAATAAGTTTCCATAAAATTTCGCCAAAAATAAGAACAATAATTACCCCTTGGTTTCAACGAGTCTACGGCATAACTTCCGCGATACGCTCGACGCCGCACACGAAAAGGGGGAACTTGCGGACGTTAACCACCCTCGTTCTCGGTTGTTAGCAAACAAACCTCGGCGCGTCGGCCACATCGCCCGTGAGTCCTTTGGCTTCGCTCCTTGATACGTGTCTGCTAGTTGTTAGACAAAAACACATCGTACCGCTCGAGTTATTTCGTCTGTCCTCTCTGAAAAGCGAAGTCAAGCTCGCTCGTAAACCTAAGACAGCTGTTGAATAGCAGACGACGTTGCAAAGGAGCAGACGACGCTGAGATAAGGGATCTCAGCGACCCACTATCTTTCCACTCGAGCCAATCAGAGCTCGGCATTCTGACGTCATCGCAACCCCTGGAAGCAGACGAACTTGCCGTCCGCATTGTCCTCTATCCCACCCATGCATCATAAAGCCGGGTTCACATTTCTTATACGTCATACAAAAGACTGTCGGCAAACGCGAGTCGACCGCAATATCGGTGGTTCGAATGCCGCATGCCCAAGTTTCTCCTTGAACCGATTTCTACGCGACATTCGAGGTACGAATCTCGCGGTGACTTGCGTTTGAATCTGTATCGAAGAAGCCCTTCTTAGGACGCGGATAAAGGCACCAGACGGAGACGCGTTCCACAAACCGTACAGGAAGAGCGACGATAATCTACGTAGTAGCAATTGGGACAATAGGTCAAGTAGGGGGGGGGGGGGGGGGGGGGCAGAGCCGTATATGTAGCAGAGAGTTTGGCCATTCTTTGGGAAGTATAGGAGACAAATGAGGAGGCGCCATTGGCCGAAAGCGGGCTGGGCGTGTTTTAGGGCGTCTTCAGAAATTCGAATGTGGCCAACCAGAAGCCGGAAATAATACCCGGGCGGTGGTCCCGAGAAACAAACCTGATAAGTGCATCGGAGTAACTCTCGGTGACTGAAAACATGGTGCACGTAATGTTTTAATCGCGGTCATCGAAAATCATGGTGGAAGAGTGCGACTAGCGGAACGATCGACATAATCCGTACGCCAAGCGCCGAGGGCGGGAATCTGCCTTCCGAGCGGTCACACTCTGTGCGAGCAAAGCAGAGTAGAGCGGCGCATTCGTTTCTTTCATCTTTCTGCATGATCAAGATCGAAACATCACCTGCAGCCTATTTTAAACCATAAAGGGTTACTACATTTAACTCTTACGCGCTTATTAAAATAACCAAATTTGTTTCTCGCTACCACCGCTAGGGAATTCTTTTCGGCTTCTAGTTGGCCAAGAGAGCGTGCCAAGCCCACGTTCTGCGTCTGGGGCACGCCCTGCCTCTGCCTGCGCCCCCCATTGACCAAACTCTCTGTATGCACGGCTCGGGGGGGGGGGGGGGGGGGGGGGGAGGGGGGAGGGGGGGAGTGTGGGGGGGGGGGGGGGGGGGGAGGCAGCGAGAAAAGCGCCGCTACTATTCGACTCAATGTGAAAACGCACATTTTCCGGAGTTCCTTGTTGAGAACACGTGCATCCTGGGTCCTGCAGAGAGGGACTTCACGCTGCGTTCTCCGAACTGCGCGGCGTTAACAAACTCGGTCATCGATTACCCTCCCTTTAAAAAAGCCATACGTAAAAAGAAAAAAAAAAACAACCTAGAACCGTAATGCGTAAAGAGTTAGCACGAAACCAGATCAAATTTGTCGCTAGATAGCGCTCCGCAAGAAATAGAAAGAGAGGAAAACTTCATTATTTCAACTTTAGTGGTCTCTTCACAGCTCTGCAGTCTACTGACCTCCTTTCACTAGGCGAAATAACAAAACCAAAACAAGATCAAGAAAAAAAAGAGCCAAATAATTCTTCGTTTCTTTCTAAAAAAAAAAAAAAAAAAGTAAAAAACTACAATGAAAGTTAGCCGGGTGGTGTAATGTCCTCTTGTGGGGCATCAATATCACGCGGTTGTAATTAAGATCTAGAAAAAACAAACTGCCCAGAAACCATTAGAAAGTAAGGGGGCTCTGATGGTTGCGCTCTTCTCCTTTCGCAACGTGGAACAATCAATGGCCAAGTGCACTGTTTCTTTCTGGGAATGCGAGAGTGGAGCTTCCTAGATGTTCGCGTGTTGCAATGGACGATACGGGTAAGAAAAGAGGGCGAGCAAGAGAAAAAAGCACGCGAGGAAGCCGGAGCGCCGAGTTCTGACCGAAATGATTAGCGAGTAGACGATGAGGCGAGCGGCCTCTGTCACTACTTACTGTTGGAATTCGCTCGGACCTTAAAGGGGTATTCACAGGAGGGAGGAATCTCAGGGATTTCTCCACGGCACGCGCATCCCGCGACGAAAACGTCAGGCTTTGCGATGTGCAAAAGCCTCGCGTTTTTGCCTCATGATGCGCTCGTGTTGGGGGGGATTTCTCCCTCGTGTGAATACCTCTTAAAACGCCCAACGCAGGACGCCGGCGTTGGACGTTAGAACGCGTTCGGAGTTTGAATGTAGAGACTGAGGCAGCCGGCTTTGCGCCGCGTCTATTCGCTAATCCTTCCCACCAGACCTCGGTGTTGAAACGCCCCCGTTAGCTCTCGTCTCTTAGCCCATAGCCTCCTCCCATACTCGCAGAGCCTGGCAGTTCGACGACGGAGCCATAGAGGGCCCGGTCGCAGATTTGGAGCGCGTAGATCTGCTAGCACAAAGCATCAAAGAGCCATTTTTCGTGGAACCTGGACGTCAGCGCGCAGCTTTCACAGTGGCGAGGACGGCGAGGACCCGAAACACATTGTTCGCTCGGGAGAAGTCTGTTTCGGCGTGTCGCCGCAGCGGGGCGCCAGTCACGTGGCTCTTCTCTCGTCCGTTGTCTGCCGCTCCACCTTTTCCATTTCGGCGGCCGCTTCTCGCGGCAATCTGCCAGGCTTTGTCAGCATAGACGAGGCTATGTCTAGCCTCTCCCTGATTTTGTACCCGTATAAACCCTTCTAAGGATGGCCGTCTGCGCGTCGTCATATTTGGTCTACTGACCTGTGGAAGGCGCTTCGAACATGCGCAGTTCCTCATTTCTGCGAAAGACAAGAAGCCGTACGTGCATCCATACATAGCCCGATGATTCGGCATATTGTTCGCCCGGGTGCTAATCGCTGGACAGGTAGCCGACAGCATGAGAAACGCAAAAGGTTGCCTAATCCGTTCGCAATTCTTGCTCCGTGAAAGGAGCTTGGCGTTCTGATCCGCTAACGCACCGATCGAACGGTGCTAATAAAGAGCTGGGGAGCGCCCGAGGCGTTTGACAAATTCTGAGTGACTATAGCAGACTCCTCGTGAACATAATGCGTCCTTAACAAAACACCAAATAGTCGCATATAGGAATCCTTCACCGCCTCCGATCGGACCGTGGCTACACTGTCAAACGCAAAAAAAAATGTTCCGCAGAGACATTTAAAATTGCTTACCTTTAGGAATGCGAAAGCATTCCTACACGCAGGGCATTCTTACAAGCAGCACGCCACGTCTTCCTACTGCACACGGCGCTGCAGCAGTGACGTCACACTCCTGCACTGCGCAGGCGCGGCGAACCCTGCCACACTTCACCACGGCTTCCCTGACGAAGCATTGCCTTGCTGTGCTTTTCTTTGTGTTTAATTTTTGAGTTGCGACCGCTTTGACCTTGAGCGCACCCGCCGGCTTCCGCGACGAAGCATCTGCTTTGCTGTGCTTTTCTTTGTGTTTTATTGAGAATGGGAATTTAGTTGCCATTCTTCTGATACAGACGGTTAGAGACAACGCCGGCTTCGCTCCATGGCACAGTTAATGCTTGCGCATTAATATCTAACCTTTAGACGTCGCACTGTGTCACCCGCGTTATACCTGAAACCATTCACCCTATTTTCTTTGCGTGCTTGAAGATCGCTCGTGGACACCCCGCCGAATGACAACATGCCCGCGATTCGCAAGAATTACATTTTATTTACGCCTGAAGGACAGCGAAAGGCGTAGTTCGTATCCCTTTTTCTTCTAGAATTTTTTCGATCAACGGGCCTAGTTGCACATCTTTAACTAGTACCCGCATTATCACTTTTATCGACTGTGAAGCCCAGTATGCCCAGATATCGTACGCCTCAATCCACCTGAACTGATAATATACCAAT